GAGCCGTCGTCGTCGCGAACGAGGCGAACAGAGGCGGTTGGAGGAAGAAGGCGACGGAGCGCCTCGCCGCGTCCGGGATCGTCGCCGGCGCGGAGGCGGCCGCGCGCGAGGCGGCGGCCGCGGCGGAGGCGGCGGCGGAGCTTCGCGCGGCGCTGGAAGCGGCGACGACCGCCGCCGCCGCGCCGCCGCCGCGGTCGCCGTCGCCGCCGTCGTCGCCGCGAGGCGGCGGGGGGTTCGCGCGACGCGAGGCGCGGATCGCCGACGACCTCATCGAGGGGTCGTCGTGATGTGATAGACACTACATAGGAGAGACGACGTGACGACGCGATCGTGTTCACTGCTACTTTTTGTTGGCTCGCGTATTACAATCAATCAATCATCGTAATCTCAACTTATCAATCGTCGTCTCGAATCGTCGTCGTCGTCGAGACGACGACGACGACGCGCTCGCGCGCTCAAACGACTCGCTCAAACGACTCGCTCACGCGTTGACGATGCCGTCGCCCATCGCCCCGGCTTCGAACATCGCGTCGTCCATGCCGTCGAACAAGTTGCCATCCTTCGCCTGCGCCAACATGACGTCGAGCGCGTCCTCTTCGAGCATCTCCACGTCGGCGAAATCGGCGTCGAACGGCGCGTCCATGAGCCTCTGAAGCGAATCCACCCGCCGCAGCCCGACGGCATGGTGCGCGTCCATGGACGCGACGCCGCCGGCGCCCACCGCCGTCGGCGACGACCCGCCGTGTGTGGGCGCTCTCTGTTGCGTCATCGCGTGATGTTGCTGTTGCTGTTGCGCGGCGGCGTAATACTGCTGCTGCGCCTGCTGCTGCTGCTGCTGCTGCTGCTGCTGCGACCCCCCCCACTGTTGCTGTTGCGACTGTTGCGAGTGCTGCTGTTGCTGCTGCAACACCATCTGGTTGTATTGGTTCGCGTCCACGTACACGTGCTGCCCGTTGGCTTGCTGGATGAGCACCATCTGTTGCCGCTGGCCGCCAGCCTCGCCGCCAGCCGTGTGGCCCTGGCCCTGTGGGCCCTGGCCCACGTTGCCCTGCTGCGTAAACTGCTGCTGCTGCTGCTGCTGCCCCGGCTGGCCTTGCACGCCGACCGGCACCCACACCTGGACTTGCTGCCCGTTCACCGTCATCGCGCGCATCTGCCCCATCATCGGCGACCCGGGTCCGGCGCCGCGTCCGGGCTGGTGCCAATACGCCATCCCGCCCGGTCCCCCGTGCTGGCCGTTCAACTGGTTCACACCAGGCGCGAGCGGCGCGGTGTGCGGCTTGATCGCGAGGCGTCGACCGCGTTGCTCCGCCGCGCGCCACTGCTGCGTGCTGCGCGTCTGCGGCTTCGGCTTGGTCGCCGCGCCGCCCGCGCCGCCGCCCGCGCCGGAGCCCGCCGCCGCGCCCTTCGCGGCGTCCTTCGCGTTGTTAGCTCCCGCGCCGCCGCCGACGGCCGCGCCCGCCTTCTTCCTCGCGGACGCCGACGCCCCCGCGCCGCCTCGCGCTCCTGCGGCCCCACCCGCTACGAGGGAGTCCCCCCGGTTATGTTCAGACTCCTCCTCCCCGAGCACCGTCGTCGGGGAGGATCGCTTCACCGCCGCCTCCTCCGACGCCGACGAGTCGTCGCTCCCACCGCCGCGCAGCGCCAGCCCCCTCTTCGCGCTGCCCGCGGTCGCCACGCCCGCGGGACCTGCTCCTCCCGCGCCCCCTCCCGCGCTCGCGGCGGCCGCGGCAGCTTCGTCGCGTATCATCTTCCGAACCGCGTGCTGCCACAGCGTGCGCATCGACTGCTTGTTCAGCGGAAATCGCACGACGTCGACGACGCCCGCTTTGATGGCTTCGATCATGTGCGCCTTCCCGCCGACGTCCTGGAGTTGAAAGGCGTCAGTTGGAGTTGAAAGTCGTCGAGGGCGGGGATTGAAAGCGAGGGGTGGGCGCAGAGATGCGCCGGGAAAAGTCCTTAAGGATCGGCGTTCACCACGCCAACGGGGTCGTACGGGAACCAGTGTGAGGAGAACGCACCTCCTCCTCGTGCATGAGGACGATCGCGCACGACTTGGCCATCTTCGTGAAGCGAGACGCGAGGAGCGCGTTCGCGCTCGACGCGCGAGAGCCCGCGGCGGCGGACGCGCCGCTCGGTCGCGGCGGCGACGCCGCGTCGCCGGCGCCCGCGTCAGCCGTCGCGAGACGCATCAGAGGCTCCACTTGCTTCGACTCCAGGAGCGCGACGTCGAAGTGGTGGCTCGGCGGCTCCGTGGTGGAGGACTCCAAGATCGAGAGGCCCTTGTCCAGCGTCGTCGCGGTCGTGACTGGAGGGGGGTGGAGGAGGACGCGCGGGAGGGAGGGGGATGGCGGGGGCGTCAGAGGACGGACGGGACGGGACGGGACGGATCGATCGATCGATCGATCGAAAAAAAAACTTCGTCGCTGCACGCCGCGAAACGTGCTCGTCGCTCTCGGTGACAACTGTCCCGCCTCCGAGGTCGATCGAGCGAAGGGGAGGGGGCGGACGCGCGACGCGGAA